TATAAAATGGCAGCAGAACATATATTCACGCCTTCGTTAAGAAGCTTGTGTCTCTGAAAGTCAGGTGTGAAATGTACAGCCACATGTAAAACTCTCCGTGTCCATGTGATTTTGTTCATTGATTCTACTTTTTGTAAAAGAAGTCTGTTTACATCCCATTTTCCCATTTTCCCATTCCTCTAGATAAAAATTCTAGAAACCAAAGTTTCAGCAAGAAATTCCATTCCAAGATCTAGTGCCAGATTTCCTTCCTTATTTGATTAGATTGTCATTTCCCCTAGGGTTTCCTTGTTCAGAGATGTTCTTTGCTGCCCCTTGAATGCTCTGAAATTTCATTTCTTTTCTCCAATTTTCTGCCTTCTTCGTTGATTAGATCTATGTGTGCTTGTTAGGGTTTGTTTTTGTTCAAAGTTTTTAGCTTTGTTGCTGGGTATTTAGGGTTTTGTTTGTTCCTTCTCTTATCTCAATTTACAGCGTCATTTCTGGTTTGGGTTTGTTTTGTATAATTCTGCTATGGATAAGGATAAATATACAAACCACGGTGGAGGTTTACCACCTCCCTCAGGTCGTTTCTCGGGTTTTTCTTCGAGCGGGAATCCGAGCACTTTCAATGTGAAAACTGAACCGGCTTCATCGCCAGTCTGTTTTCCAATAGCGGGTTCTAGTTCTGAAGCTGGACATTTCTCTCACGGGGCGGATTCTAAAAGGTTTAGCCATGATATTAGCAAAATGCCCGACAACCCACCCAAGAATATCGGTCATCGCCGTGCTCATTCCGAAATACTCACTCTGCCGGATGATATTAGCTTTGATAGTGATCTTGGGGTCGTGGGTGGTGCTGATGGTCCTTCCTTCTCTGATGAGACTGAGGAGGATTTGTTTTCTATGTATCTTGATATGGACAAGTTCAATTCATCTTCAGCCACATCGGTGTTTCAAGTGGGTGAGTCATCGGGCACGGCAGCAGCTGCTGCCCCAGGACCTGCTGTGCCTGGAGGAGTGGATGCTAGTTCCGGCGAGAAAGTGGCTATTGGGTCTGCTGAAAAGCCTAGGATTCGACACCAACATAGCCAGTCCATGGACGGGTCGACAAGTATTAAGCCTGAAATGCTTATGTCAAGTGCTGAAGAGGCGTCCCCTGGTGATTCTAGGAAGGCCATGTCAGCTGCTAAGCTTGCTGAGCTTGCTCTTATCGATCCCAAGCGTGCTAAGAGGTAATTTTTCCAATCAAAATTCTTAGATTTAGTGTGCAAATATGGTTTTTATGTTATTAGTTTTGAATTTAGATGCAAGATTTTTATTCAAAGCCTGCAATACTGGATAGGAAGTGGCAGTGGATACGCCATTTGTTGGTGTCTTCTTAAATTCTGCATTTATTGGTTGGGGGCTGGGTTTTTCCATGATATTTATTTACAAGATCAAATTTTGTATGTGAAGTAGCTGTAAGTACTTTGCTTGGGAAGCCAGGCCTGACCTGGGTTTCTGGTATTCATACAAGTTGAACTGAGACTCTTGCCACAAGGCAATCACTTGTCTTTGTTTTGCTCTTCCCTTTAAACTTGCGTTTTGGCTTTATTAATGTTTTATCCCTTCTAACTTTAGTTTTTCTGGCTTGCGGCCTTGTGGTCTGGCTCCCCCCATTCCCCTCTATCCTTAAATGGAATGTTTTCCTCCTAAATTCTCCCTTCCCTCATATCTTATTTCTGACAAAATGAAGAGAAGACATGTCTGCACCCTGTTATTTATGCACTTGATGTTGACATCACCTGTTCCTTTGTTGGCCTTCTGATAGGATCTGGGCAAATAGGCAATCAGCTGCAAGGTCAAAGGAAAGGAAGATGCGGTATATAGCGGAGCTTGAGAGGAAAGTACAGACACTGCAAACTGAAGCAACTTCACTGTCTGCTCAATTGACTCTTTTGCAGGTATTATTGCATCACTCAGCACTCACTCTTTATATCAAAATACTATTAGTTGGAAATGATGATATCCAAATTTCAGGGATGCTGTTGATTCAATCTGCTAATTCCTCTGTCTTCTTGCTCATCTAACATTTTCGTTTAGAGCTAATACCAGTGTGATTGTTCTCATTGTTGGTTTTGAGCAGAGAGATACAAATGGTTTGACTGCTGAAAATAGTGAATTGAAACTGCGCTTGCAAACAATGGAGCAACAGGTTCACTTACAAGATGGTGAGGATCTTCTGGAAACTTTACCTTCAAGATTGATACATTCATTGCATAGCTTTCCTTGCTTATTACTTTGACTAGTTTTATCTATGTTGAGAACTTGAGATAGTATATTAGAGGCTATGTGATGTTAATATGATGATTGCTAGGGTGTTTCTGGGACTTTGTGACTGGGTTATAGGCAATGAAACTGTGTGTTTGAAAAAAGGGATATTTAAGTGGTTAGCTGAAAATCTTAGTGCCTTATATATGTATGCCATTTTAGATAGCAGAAAAAAGAGAGGGTTGAGAGAGAATTCTTTGAGGTTGGTCTATTTTGTTTGATGAGATATGAAAAATTGTTTTTTATACTGTTTACTTATTTCATGACAATTATATCCTTGTATATGTTGTCATATTTGAACATGGAGATGTTATTATTGGAAGTGAAAATGCAATGCTTCTTGTGCTACTGTAACTGGAAGCAAGGTGTTGCTGCTCTGGCTAAAGTGGCTTTCAATATGTATTTGCTTTTAAAATTTTGGTCCAAAACATGAACAATTAGCTTGTTTACTTGTAAGCTATGTCTGAGATTCAAGATTCAAGAGATACATTCCTGGTTAAGGATTGGCAGCCTGTAAATCAAAATTTAATTACTGACAGGACCTAATAGGCTGTCAGCAGAATCTGAGTTATTTGAGTCAGATACTCTGATTCTTATTACAGTTATATTGACAGGACCTATATTTTACAATGTTATTTATCAATACATTTATATATTTGGAACGGGCATTGGAAAATGAATGCTTCTTATTCTACTTGGAACACCTTATTTACCCCTAGTTAGTAATGTAATTTTGTTTTTCTTTTTGTTTGTTGTAGCATTGAATGATGCACTGAAAGAGGAAATTCAGCACCTGAAGTTACTGACGGGCCAAGCAATGCCAAATGGTGGACCAATGATGAGCTATTCTTCATTCGGGGGCAGCCAACAATTCTATCCAAACAGTCACGCTATGCATACACTTTTAACTGCACAGCAGTTTCAGCAGCTTCAGATTCATTCGCAGAAGCAGCATCAGCTGCATCAACTTCAGCAGCAACTGCAACAGCAGCCACCACAGCAGCAGCAACCACAACAACCAACTGGGGAATTGAAAATGAGAGGATCCATGGCTCCCCCTAATCAGAAAGATAATTCATCTGATACAAGCTCTGCTGCAATGAAGGATTAAAGAGTTAGTTGTTCCTTGCCATAGTTCAAATCTTAAGTCTCAGTCTTTCTTAGATAGGATACATTTACTTTTGCCCATTTCTCCTGTCTGTTTAAATGCATCTATTTAGCATTTATTTGTAGGCAGATAAATTTGATTTTAGTGGGAGATTTCTATTTTCTTCCTAGTTTTTCGCATCAGTATCACCGGTCCCTGACTTTTATATATCTCAATGGAAGGACCATTGGAGGCAACCCACAAAACTTGGACCAATAGAGGTAAACAAAAAAAGTGAAGGATGGGGCGTTAAATGTGGCCCCTGGGAGAAAGGTTGGGAACCAAAATGGATTTTAAGTTTTTACTAAGTGTTTCCCGATGTGTTTGAGATTGCGGTTGGATTTGGGAATGTCGTTGGGTCCTTTTTTTTGTAGTTATATAGTATTTTTAGATATATGTGGTTGGTATTTTTTTTTTATATTTTATTTTTGAAAAACTATTAAAAGTTACAATAGATCTATGATAATTTTATATGTAAAATTAAAAGTTTTATTTTAAAGTTTTTTATTGTGATTTTAACGGATAATACTTAATATTTAATATAATTATAAAATTATTTAATTCAATTATATTATAATTTATAATATTTTATTTAAACTTAATTTCTCTTTTATTTAAAGATTTTATTAAAAAAAAATTAAAAATTCTTTCTTTCCTTATGAGGTGTTATCCGCAGAACTCAGAAGAACACTCAATTCAAAAAACTTAAAAGTTAAAAAGCAGTAAATGTTGTATATTTTAATAATTGTATATCATATAATGTTTTTTAAATTTTAATTAATGATTAATAAAATTTATTATATGTTATTTATAATACTTTTAAAAAATAAATAATTAAATATTAAAATAATTTTCAATTACAACTATAATAGAATATAACAACTATAATACTTTACAGTAATTTTAAATGCATCCTAAAACAGGTCTGGTTGTCACTTTCTATTATTTTGTTAACGCTATATAAAAATTATTTAGTTTAGCTAATATTTTATTAGTTTATAACTTTTTTAATAATTGATTTTAATATCTAAAAATATTAATTTATAAATTAATTTTAATTTATTAAATAATAATTATTAGTTATTTTATTAATCATTAATTATTTTTAACAATTAAATTAAATAAAATTATGTGGTTTTAATAAAATAATATGTAGTCATAATCACAGAACTGAATCAATCCAATTGGATTATACAAATTCAATCTAATTTAGGGGTGGCAATTTGCTTTGATCCTCGCGAGGCGTTGCGGGGATCCCCACCACAAGAATAAGGTGAAGAGGAATATTCCTTCTTGTGGATAGGGATTGGGGGAATTTTTCCTGCCTTGCAAAGCTCTATAAGGAGTTCCATCTAGGGATGGCAGGGACGGAGATCCCCGCGGGGATCCCCATTCCCCACCAATTAATATAAAAAAATAAATTTTTTATATATAATTAATTAATATTCAATTATAATAAATAAAATTTTAAAAATTCAAATATAATTAATTAAAATTCTTTAAATATAAATTATCTTAACATAAATAAAGATCAATCTAACATAAATAACTAAAATGTTAATAATAGGTTGGATAAAATTGGATTAAATATAAATTTTATTGAATTGGATTTAGGTTTGAAGGTTGAATTAAATTTAAAATAAAACTAATTTATATATTTTTTTAATTTTTCACGGGGATGGGGATCCCCACTGGGTCCCGCGGAGCGGGAAAAATTCCTCGCGAATTTTCACGGGTAGAAAATACTTCCCGTCCCCGCCCCGTCGCCGTGGCGGGAATCCCCACGGAGCCCCACGGGGATCGGGGCAAATTGCCATCCCTAGTCCCATCCCTGCAAAAAATTAAAATATATATATATTAATTTTATTTTAAATTTAATTCAATTCATTATAGCAATACGTAATATGCATTTTAAATCCAAACTCAATCTAATAAAAATTAAACTTGACCCAAATATGTTAGTTTAGCTATTTATATTGGATTGATCTTTATTTATATTTGGAACAAACCCTTTAGTTTAACTATTTATGTTGAATTGATCTTTATTTATATTTGGATAATTTATATTTGATTTTGTATGTAGAGAATTTTAATTAATTGTACTTGAAATTTTAGAATTTTGTTCATTATAATTGAATATTGTTAATTATATGTAAAAAAAATTTATATTTTGATATAAATTAGCAGGAAATGAAAAACAAAGATGGGAGGCAAAATCTGCCTCTTATCAAAAATCCTTGTGAAAATCCCTGTGAAAATCTCTGTTCCCGTCATTCATGGGGATGGGGACAAGGAGGGACCTCGACCCCGTGAGGCCCAATTGTCATCCCTAATCTAATGTAATCCAAACAACCTTGATTTGGATTGGATATGATGATAAAAAACTGATTTAGTTCGTTTAATAACCAATTGAATAAATTGGATGGAAGTTCAATGTAGTGCTTATTCCATGAAAGTCCTTTTCTTTCTTAGATTTTGGGTTACCCATTCAACATTGGAATATGACTGGGTAGAGATCCTTATCTTCCCTCTTGAGAGCCCAAGCAATTTTAGTTGAAGATCATGCTTTCTAATTTGGGTTTTGCCTTTAGAAGTCTCAGAAGGCTTGTCACTGATTATAATTGGCTCTTCCTCTTCCTTACTCCCTCAGGGCAGACTGCCATTGCTATTGGCAGCAATGAGCCTGAGTAGGGGCAGAGGGTGAAATCAGAGGGAGCTGTGTTCCACGATTGAGACCAGATAACTATCCAAACGGTTAGGCATTTCTCTACCTGGAGATGTCTTCATGGTAAGAGTTCGCTAAAGATTAGTGAGGGGTCTTCAACCATCCCAATAGTCATGGTAGGATGTTATTGAGGATGCATTTCCAGCAGGCGATAAGCCTTTCATTCGGGCATTTAAGATACAAGTTCCAAGTAAGGATTATTATAGTGCTCTGGCATATTTTGTAGCCACAGAGCTGATTCCAGAGGAGCAGCTCTTGACGGTGAACTTCTTGATTTGGACCAAAGCTTAAAGGGCATCATTCTATTTTCCTTCATGCTTGTTCAATAATAATATCAGACTTGGATAAACTTGTGTTTGAACATTATAAATGAATTCACTTTGTAACATTGTTCAAAAAATGGTACACCACCACAAGATAGTAAGAAAAATAAAGTGGGGAATAAGGAATGATGCTTACATTAATTAGCAATGACAGTAACTTGCAAAACTGTTTGGTAGCAAAGAAATGCACACACCATCTTCTAGTTTAAGAACAGACTGGGGAATTTGTATAATCATTAATCACGACAGTAGAGGTGAGCAGAGAATCTGGAGAAACGGATGATTGTGGATCTCGTAGTATTTCCAACTTTTAACTCTCTAGCCGGGCAACTCACAACTATCCATTATAAATGTATTATCAAAGGATGACTCATTTGTAAGCCATGCCCTTACCGTAGATAAAATGCAAAAGATCTTGATCAGGAGTTAGACGACTTCAACACCTTCAACTGCAATTGCACTCATCTGCAATGTTCTACCAGTTCCAAGAAACCGAACAGAAGGCAATGAAGAATCTGTAACTGATTCGATCTCAATAAAGTTGAAATCATATGCACCAGAGCGCTTCAAACTGAAAACAAAAACAACCACAATCCATCCCAGCATAGAAACTACCCAGTAATTGTTCATGCCATGGATCAAACCCCATGCTATAGCATACCCAACAATGATTCCTGATAAATGACCCACAAAACTTGCTTGTGGAACAATGATTGAAGTGAAAATTAGTGACTCAAATGGTGCAAAACTGATGGGAAGTGAAAGAAACCCAAAAAGATCCAACTTTGATGAGGGTTGCTTCACGGAAAGAATCGTCATCCACCCAAAAACAACACAAGAATAACCAACAGCTGTCACTCTACGGAAATACTCAACCTTAAATCTCTGAATAAACAAGTGGTAAATTGCCAAAACAACAATTCCTGACAATGCTACCAGGACAAGCGTGTACTGAAGATAATATGCCACACCAAGACTTAGGTGTCCCAGCTGCTCTATAACCCCAAGACTCCAAAGTGCACTCATATTGAAAACAAGATGGAGAACACTAATATGTGAAAAGGCAGAAGTAATTATTCTCCAATAGTGCCCTTCCATGGCAGTTTCATAACTCAAACCTACATGTTGATACCCAATGTTCTTCTTCTGTATATAAAACCATATTGCACTGCAAATTCCTATTATACAACTAGTTGCTGGTTTCTCCAAGATCTCATAAAACAACGGCTTTCCCATCTATGATTGTAACAACCCCTTTAACCTTGCCCTCCAGTGATTCAATGCAAGTAAGCACCAAAAATTACCATCGTAAAAGATTGGCCACAAAAGATCAAGATCCCTCCACGCCACCAGAAATGAAAACACAGCCTCTTCACACACTAGATGAAGATTTTACAACCTCGTGATTTCTTTAAAAAATATCAAGAACCACAACTCAAATCTAGCACTAATTACTAAAACCCAGATCTAAATCACCGCAAAAAATGAAATTTCAAACACCTGATCATTTGAAATCATGAAAGGCATCAATCAGAAAAATGGGTTTCTTGAGAATCAATCAAATAAGGTTTTAGCTAAGCCATAACAGAAAGCGACATCATATTTAAAAAATCTGCACAGAATCATAAAATTAACTATTTAGACTCTTCTTTGGAGCAGGAAAAAGAAGAAATTTAGGTTTTAAAGCAGAAAGTTTACAGCTTTATCGAGAAACAAGAGAGAGTGCTTACTTCTTACCTTCGGATGCCAATGGATCAAGCTTTACTCGTTTCCGCTAGATTTTCTGTGTTATTCTGAAGGAGAATTTCCAAGTGTAAACCATGTTTCTGGATTTCTCTGTAATTTTTTTCATATCATTTTAGTTAGAATTTTATCTACCAAAATACCCTCATGTTTTTATTTTTATTCTTTTCTTTTTGATGAAGAATAAACGGAGTTGCATAAAAGAAACTTTGGGCTAAATTCATTGAAAAATAAGTCTTTGGGCTAAAGTGGACACTGGCCCATCCATTCTCTGGTAGGCTGGGCCTTTTGGGCCAAGTTCGGAGTAGAAGTAGAACTATTGGTAATCTGGACTAACATCTCTTTCTCAATTAGCATCCTTACTCTATCAAATACAAACCTCCTTAATGTCATATAAAACGGTAATCTCTTTCTTGTAAGTAGAACATATGTAAAAATGGTAATTTACTCCCTGTGTAAGTAAAATATCACAGGATTTGAATTATAATTATGCGAGTAGAATGAGTAAAGTGATGGAAGAAAGATAATACCTCATATGGTAGGTGGAAGAAAGATATTACCTCATATGGTAGGTGATTAAAGCTATATTTTAGCCTATAGGGATGATTTAAACACAATTTTTTTTTTCTCAATTAATAAGCTGTGGATTGAAATAATAATCTTTAATCATATCAAACAACCATATCAATCGCTTGCATGAATAAGTTTGCGTTAGTTAAGTTAGTTACTTGTTTTTTATTTTTACCTTGGATCAAAATCTTTGTTTGGGTGCAACCGAAGTCACCAAACCTTCAACGTCTTTCCATCAGTACGGTTCAACCACCACACGCCAACCCTCTTTTTGCTTTATATATGTATAGATAGATAGATTGTTTTTTAACCTTAAGCTTCACTCACAAGATCACTCATGAACAATTTTCCAATGCAAACCACCAAAATCAGCCCCATCATTTTCTCGAATTCGCCTGGCATGTGCCGGGTTGAATCCTTCCGGCTCACCGATAAATGGGAAGACAATTACGGGAGTGGTGGTGATCGCCATAATATTGAATACTGGCATGCTAGACGTGCGTTTTTGAACAGCTTCCATTTTACGGAAGATGATGGGTTTCAGGACAAGCTGAAGAGGTCTGTGAAGCAGTTTAATGAAGTGGCAACCGACGCCATGGTGGACTTCCGGCGAGAATTGTCCAAGAGAAGGTTTAAGGATAAGTTGCAGAGGTCTTTCAAGGAGGTTAACGAAGTTGTAATGAACGTTGCTGTGGATTTCCGCCGAGAATTGTCTAGGAGAAGGCTCACAACCAAGGCTTTCAAATTCAAGTTGAAGTTGTCGTCTTTGGTTTTTGCAATCTTCGGATGCTTTACGCCGTGGTTGAAAAAGAAGGAATTCATAGAGCCTTGAAACAATTAAAAGGGAATTGGATTGCGTCTTTGGTTTATGTGACCTATTGTATTCTCAAAACTATACGTACTCCAGGGATATTTGGACTTTGTTTGTATTTCAAAACTCATACGGTTATAATGTCACAACATTGTAAGTTTACAATTAATTTTAATGTGTCATTATATGTCTTGTTAATTA